ATCAGAAAGTAGAGATTTCAACGAAGAAAAAGCCCACCGACGTTTTTAAAAAAGCAGATATTTTGACGTGAGAATTTTCGATTGAAAATTAGGGTGCTTTTTCGATATTAAGTAAAAATAAGATGAAAAAATAAATATTTCAAATAAAAAAAATTACAGCGTGTTTGGGACATAAATAGGTAAGCTTTCATCAAATTTCGTGAAAAAAAAATTGTTTGTAAAAGATAAAAATAAAAAACCAAAAAAGGTTATTTGAATTTTTCACATAAATTTTGAGGTTATTTGGAAAAAGTGTAAATACAAAAGTTGTAGATCTTTTTATTACCTACAACTTTGCCACTTAACTTTTTTCCATAAGACTTGTAGTTTTTCTGGAAATCAAGGGAAACCGTTTTTTACCCTTAAAAACTCACCCCCTACCCCTTACCGACCTCAGATCGCCCGTAAATTATTTTTCTCTTTCTTTTCCAATGGGTTTCATCCTACTATAATTTTTTTTGGTTTCAAAAATTATCGACCCTGGTCTAGTATGTGTGAATGAGCTTGACGCTTAATAATCACATAAAAATCCATTTTTCATCTAAACCGGTTTTGTTATTTTATTCCATTCGACGGAAATTCCGACGACATTGTATTTTATTTGCCATTAATCTAGGTACGCATAACGTGAAATGGCTGCGAGAAAGTTGCGGAAGATGAACACAACAATTACAAAATTTCAATCAGAAATATCTCCGCGTTGCTGTCTGGTGATAGATACGTAGTTTATGATGTTTCTGTTAATATTTACGGTCGTTATTGCATACGTGGTGTGTATATATTTCGTTAATCCTGCCTTGTACTGGTGGAAAAGACGCGTTTTCTATGTTAATCCGTGGACGAGGTTCAGGCAGGTCTTTCTCAACAGTAAGTCGTTTTTCGAATGCGCTGTTAACGGATATAATGAGTTTCCTGATAGAAGGTAAATAAGAATATTTTAATTTAACCTACTGTTTATTTTTCTTTCGTATTGCTACATTCCCTGTTTTTTTTTCAATAACGAACAGCAAAGTTAAACGAAGTAAATTAGATTTTCTGAAACAAATTGTACTTTTCTCTCTCTCTCTAATTAAGAAATAAAGTATTATAGCGAAAGAAATCAAGTCGTAGATGTAGAGAGAGAAAGAGATGTTACTAACAAGTTATGTTTATTCTTCCAAGGTGCAAAGTACCAAGGTAACTTCAATTGAATGTAGGTGGTGTCACTTTAAAATAACTATGGTTTGTCCTTCCTTAATTGTAGGGGTCATGGCAATGGCAATATGTAAGAATAATAATGTAGGTCAGAAGTCCGTAGATTATTTTAATAATATTGTTATTAAATTATTATTATTTCAATATATTTTATGTCGTTTTATTCGTTTTGAGAAGCTATACAAGCTAATTTTTTCTAAAGCTGTCATCAAATGTTTGAAAAACTTATTCTGTTTGGACCAAAAACAATTTTTTTCTACTAGGAAAAAGAGTATTTCATACTATTGTCACCTATTGATTTAATTTAATTTAATAAATTGCTAAAATGACTATACTTATTGTGGAAAATTGGTTTATTACAATTGAACAAATTTTACTCTTCAAACTTAGCAACTATTTTCTTTGTTGTAAAATTGCAAGTTGGGGTTCGCAATATTATTATATCACAGCATATGTAAACCAGCAAATTTAGATGAGCGGAATTCATAAGACGCACAGAGCAGATGAGCGCGTCTTTTCTAGTTTTTTCATTTTATGAGTTATGAGTACCTACTTAGTCTGGAACGAGATTTCTACTTTGCTGGTCCAAATGGTCTGAAGTGGGCGAAAAAACACCGGAGAAATTATCTATCAAATTGGATATCAAAAGTAAACACTATTTGCAGCATTCTTAATTAGTCTGAGGTCATTGTCAAATGAAAATTTTGTTTTTAAAATACGTAGCATTAATCTAATCTATATAATTCAATAACACTCAGTGTGCAAAAAAACTAAGCAGATTGCAAATTAGTAATTAGAAAGAGATCGCTAAGTAATAAAGCTATAACCAATTCTTCAATTAATAATTTTAATATTTTTAAATTTTCTCTCAGCATGTCTTGCTATGGGAATTTTAATGAAAACATAACCTTGTCTTCTATATCTTATTATAATAAACTAAAACACCCTAATTAATGAAACTAATATCTCATAGTGTAACGCGATCGCGAATTAACTTCATTGATAAAAATTGTGAAGTCGCTATTTCATTCTCGAATTGGTTTTTACTTGCTGGTTCTCCAAAAAAGCCTCTATTATTGGCACTGGATATAAAAGTCATACTTTGCATCCTAGAATTAAAAATAATTATTTATGTTTCTTTGAAAGTATTATTAGACCAATTCATAATAATTTCATTAATTTCTCTATTGTATGAAGCTTATAGAAAAAACTTTACTTATTTATTTATATCTTAATATTTTCTTTTCTATTTATTAATTTTGGTATCATCAGTCCAGTGAAATGTCTTAGATTATTTTGTTTTCAAACAATTTATCACTAGCATTTATCGATTTTTATCTGACAGAACATAAATAGAAATTATCTGTTTGCGCCATTATCTTAAAATCACGATTTCCAGTATCCAAGCTAAAACTTTTTAAAGTATTGTGAAATAAAATGAAACATTTAAGTCTCAGATCGTCTTCAGAAATTGCCATATCCTTCACCAACAAACAATAATGAGAAAAGATCATATCTTAAGCTGATTGTAATCATTTTCCATATCAATAACTTGTTTTTTAAAAACTACCAAACAGACTTCAGATGTTCTTAATATTGATGATAGATATTTTTATTTACAAATAACCCACAATCCACAATGCTTAGAATTGTTTGATATTATATTAGCCTCATTAGTGAATTATGTTTGAGGAATTACGTTTTTTATCCTTTTGACTCATTTCTTTTAGTCATAATCGTGACTGTTTTATTATTCATGCGACAAAATATTTAAAAATAGAATTATAACTTCCGCCAAATAATAGGCAAACCCATAGTGCATATTATCATGAAGAATTTCTCAATATTTTTACTAGATCGATTTTCGACCTTGTGTACTTTGATAATAAGTGCCAAGAAAACAGCCTCTTTGTCATGCCCTTAAATATCGCGATATTCTGGCAATATTAGAAATATTTAAGAAGTTTCAAACCCTAAGTGACAAACTAATAGAATTATAGAATTTATTTATTTAAATTTATAGAATTATATTGACTTTTATAGTAATTAATAAATTAAAATTATATCAATATTACGGAGCATGCGCATTAAAGATAATTTCATGTAAGCGAAGTAGAAAAAGAGTGAGAGAGAGAGAAGTAAGAAAAGTTTGGTTGTGGTTAAAAGTACAACTATAATAAACCACTTGATGAAAAAAAACACTCGATAAACACAATGGCACAGTACAACACCAAGAAAAACAATATAAATACTTAGTAGAACTAGAAAATGCCAAGATTAAACACGAATAACACGTTTAATTTAAATTTTTGCTTTATTTAAATTCAGGAATATTCTATTATATCGTTTTTTGTAAGTTTTAAGCACATTAGTGTATCAATTTTATGAAACACTTGATGGTTGTTTTTAAATACTTCTAAACCCTTGCAAATATAAATGAATTTGAAGTCGTTCATTTTTATAGTATCTATGTAAATAGTACACAAGGGTCAGATTCGGTCTATACAATTTCAACTATCACAAATTGTTGCGAGTTGCCTAAATATGTGAAGTCACACTAAAAGACTATTAAGCTTATCTCTATCCTAAGTTGCTTCCTTTAGTCGCTAGAGGGCATCAAAATTGACAAAAAAAAATAGTTTTCAAGTAACTTTCAACTAGATGTCAAGTAATTGGGTAAGAACTGAGAAAAATACCCCCTCCATTAAAGTAATCTGTTTAAAATTTTGTCAGAGGTCGTGCTAGACCTTTTGTCTTAAAGATGAAGGGTTTGTAAAAGTTTTTCCCTCTTGTAAAATGTTTGTATTTGTAATAGTTTTGAGTTAATTAACTTTTTCGATAACAAAATAGTTTGTAATAGACTGTTTTCTCTTATAACAATTGTTCAGTATAACCCCCGTTTTCTGTAATACCTACATAAATTAGTTCTTTCATTTTGCAAATTGTGAACAGCATCTTAAATCCTGTTCCACAGCTATCCCTCACTGTCAATAGGTACTCACAGAGTACGCCTTCTGTTTTAAGGTCCTCCAAATAAAAAAGATCACAGGGATTTAAGTCAGGTGAACGTGGTGGCTTATGAATTGGAGCATGTGTCCCCTGCCTATCCCTCTGCCTGCTTACTGATCATTTATATGTTCTCTTACACAATTGACATGCAGTGGTGCTCCGTCATGCATAAAATACACATGATTAGGTAGATTAAGTGGTAGATTATCAAACAATTCCGGCAGAGTATTAATCTGTTAATCTGACGATATTTGCCAAAATAACTTTTTTGATATAAACCAGTAATTACTAATATCACAAATTTCTAATTATAATTTTATGCATTTTTTTTTTAATTTTTAGAAAGGCACTTCATCATAACAGATTTTAACTGTTGGCCACATTTATGTCAGTCAGTTTAATATAAATCTGGCAACACTGAAAGTCCTGCTCATAAAAATGTAAAGTATTCAAAAAATTACTGCATTTAGTGCTGAATTAGAAATTTTCGCTTAATCATGTCACAGAGCATCTTTTCATTTTTTTTAGGACTTAAAGTCAAAATGATAAAAGATTAAATAAAAATATTTTTTTGCCTACAAGTTGGAAAACACCCCATTCCTTCAAAGCCCATAAAAATATATCGTAAATAAATATCTGTACTTTCAGATACTATGGTAGCTACCAATTCATGACGCCATCTCTCTTCGTGAGAGACTTGGATCTCATCAAGCGTATAACCGTGAAAGATTTCGACCATTTCACGGACCGCATGAACTTTATAAGCGAAAAAGCTGATCCGCTGATGGGTCTCAATCTGTTTAATTTGGGTGGGGAAAAATGGAGGGACATGAGGTCCACACTGTCTCCGGCATTTACCAGCGCCAAGATGAGGGCCATGTACACGCTCATGCAAGGTAAGCAACCGTTTGATCAACGGGTGTTAGGTGTGGGAATGTTACTGGCCGATCGACGGACGAATATTTTGATTTTTGTATTCAAACGTTATTTTGCTAACACGATTTTACTAACTAGTTAGCTCATTGCACTAGGATTGACTTTAGTCGAGGCCTAACTGTTGCAAGGATCGTGGGAAAAATTTTATAACAGTGTAGCTATTATTTATGGGGTTTTACATGATGAATTTCGAGTGTAATATCTTTAATAACTTTTTTCTATACGTATTATTTTTTTATTTTTAGAAACAGCAGAACATTTTGTCGAGTACTTCCTCTTAGACGACAATGAAGTGATAGAACTCGAAATGAAGAACATCTTCTCAAGGTACACTAATGACGTCATAGCCAACTGCGCCTTCGGCATCAAATGTGACTCTTTGAACGAAAAGAACAACGAGTTCTATACCATGGGGCTGAATGTTACTACCCCGAAACCTAGCAATATGGTTAGAGGGGTTGCGGCAGCTTTCTTTCCCAAAGTATTCGAGGTAATTTATATTTTAACGATTGCGAAAAAAGGCAGAGCATCCAGATCAATATTTTAGATCTAAAGTTTCCTTCATCTTGTAGGTCCTCAAAATAAAAGTATTTTCAACTACCGTTTGGGACTTTTTCCGGAAGATAGTCTCCGAAACAATATCTTACCGGGAAAAAGAAAATATTATCCGTCCTGATATGATCCACCTTCTGATGGAAGCTAAGAAAGGTAGACTCAGACACGAAGACGAAAAAACCTCGGAAAACGACACCGGCTTTGCCACGGTAGAAGAATCTGCTCTAGGAAAGTCCGTCGGCAAAATGGAACTGACACATGACCTGATAACCGCCCAAGCCTTGGTATTTTTCTTGGCTGGGTTCGATACAGCCTCCACCTTGCTGTCCTTCTTGACCTACGAGCTGGCTCTGAACCCAGACATCCAAACGAAGCTCCAAGCAGAAGTCGACGAGGCAGCTAAGGCTGGGGTGTCGTACGAAGAAATCTTGAAAATGAAATACCTGGACCAAGTCGTTTCCGAGGCCTTGAGGAAATATCCCGGTGGCTTCATCCTGGTCAGGCAGTGCGTTAAGGATTACAAAATAGAAGCCGAAAGGGACTACGAGAAGGACATTGTAGTGGAAAAGGATTGCTTGGTGACTATTCCAATTTCGGGCATCCACAGGGATCCTAACTACTTCCCGGATCCGGAGAGGTTTGACCCTGATCGGTTCAGTGATGAGAACAAAGAGAAAATCGTGTCCGGGTCGTACATGCCCTTCGGCAGCGGGCCTAGGAATTGTATTGGTAAGTTGAGATGGCAGATTTTCTTTTTCAAAATACAGGGTGTTGCCACGGGCGAGGACAGTAGTACTTATATCATTGTTAAAAATCTTAAATAGTAGACGACAGATGGAGTCATTTTGCGCTCCCGCGTACAATGTATTTCCTTATTGTGACGATACGACACAAAACAGCTGGTTCGTTCATCGGTTGTCGCACCTATGACACACTGATGAGGACTAATAAGTCCAAAACCGGTCTGTGCCTGGTGGGTTAAACTGATGAACGACCCTAGGTGTTGCGAGTATAATTCAATGCCGGTAGGGCATATAGCCCTCGGAGTAGTTGTTTCTCACAACACTGACAATTAAAACATTGTCTTCGTCCTCTGTGGGTGGCAGTCGTGCAACAAATACCGGTTGAAAAAAAAAAAAAGAATAAAATACAAACGCCAAAATTCACACTGATTTACGAGGTTTTTGGAATCTGAATGTTTTTGATTGAAATGAAATTATGATCATTACAAAATTTAGGTACTCTTCAGACCTCAGGCCAAAGAGAACATGATTGTTGAGGTCGTTGAACTCAAATGTGGCATTACACTTTCAAAATTCAAGATGGCGGATCCAATATGGTGGGTGAGGTGATTCTATAACACCATGACCTTAGCAATCGAATTTCCATGCGAAACAAATTCAATTCGTAGATTCTATATCCCCATAGCGCAATCTTGATACGGACCAATTCTAAGACCGTATTCATAGCCATGGGGATCGAATTTCCAATATCCAAACTAACTGATTTCTCAGTGAGGAAAAAATATATTCGAACCATGTAACATGCATTTTAAAGAAGAGAAGTACATACTTCCTAATTCCATAACGAGTTTTGTGGAGAATAATTATCTCCTGATATACAGGGTGTAAGAAGTTTGAGTGGCATTACTTCAGCATGAGATAGAGTAATCATAAATGAACAAAAAAGTTGTATATTACAGGGGCGTAACACTAACAGTTTCCAAAATACAGCAAGTATTAATATTGGGGAATTTCATCACAACGTGACAACAGCGCTTAACCCAATGCTACACAACTGATGCACACCACGTGTGCACGGGGCAGACTTGTCCTACGGAAAAAATGTAAACAACAATTATTGGAAACATTTAGTAAATTTTAAGACAATTGTTTTCCAGTTTTTAAATAAATAAAATAAAATGTATCCATCTTGTAGTACGAAGATAATGTTGTGCTTATAGACCAGGGCGGTTCTGTCGAAATATCCCACTTTTTGGACACATCGGAAAAAAGGCAAAATAATCAAGTTTCTTGGATAATTTTTTAAAAATATTTTAATTACTCAGATAGCATTCTAATTTTGGTAAAAAAAAAAACTTTTAGAGTATAATAAAACAACACTCCAAATTTTATTAAAATCAGTTCGAAGATTTCGTAAAATAATTTTCTGAAAAAAACTTTCGAATTTTCAAAATGTTGCACAGCCTCAAATAAAGCATCTAGATACTGAAAATTTTTTCACATAGAAAAAACCGCTCAACCTTTCAAATGGTTTTTGAAAAGTTGAATTCGGTTGATTAGGACGGCCACTGTAAATTTTCAAAGTTGACACACTTTTTTTATTTTTAAACAATTAGATTACATTTATCAATTTGCAATTTAGTTTTTTTCAAAAATTATAATTTTAAAGTACTCGGAAAGACGCTTCTTTAAAAAAAAAATTAAATTCCGTTTATTGGTTGTAGAGATATAAGCGGTCAAAGTTTATTGGCATTTACCGTTAATTTATTAAAAAATTTAGCAATAATCTTTGATCCATTGGCTTCGTTTTTCTGAGTTCTAAGCTGAAAAAAATTTTCATATCTGTAAGTTATCGGCAACATAGATAAATCAGCGGAAAAGCTATCGCTCGCACGCGTGAAAAGTGACTCAGAACACGAAAAGTGAGGGAGGGGGCTTTTGCTCCGAGACTGAATTCTGAGGTTCAAAATGCGAAGGTACGAAAAAATTGCATTATCTCGGCTTCTAATGGACCAATTTCGATCTTTTTTTTTAATTCGATGTCTCGCAAGCCAAGCAATTCGAATATCGTAATGCCAACTGTCTAATTTGCACATTTTTGTTATAAACAAAGGTAATTATTTATGCATTAAATATACTGTATATTTTACCCATGCTATTGCATTTTTTCAATGAAAAACTTTGTTTATGTATATATTTCAACACTCTGAATATGAATATATTTAGTTATAATTATTACAATTATTTAAATAATTTTTGTTTCAACAAAAAAATTTATTTGAAAATTAATTTTTTTGTTAAATACAGATAAAATTAAGAAAAAATGGTACTTTAAAATTATAAGTTTTGGAAAAAAACTAAATTGCAACAACTTGATAAATGTAATCTAATTGTTTAAAAATTCATATAAAAAAGAGTGTTAACTTTAAAAATTTACTGTGGCCTTCCTAATCAACCGATTTCAATTTCTCAAAAACCATTTGAAAGGTTGAACAGTCTTTTCTATGTAAAAAAATTTTCAAGTATCTAGTATTTTTTTTTTCAAAAAATTATTTTGCGAAAACTGTCGAACGGATTTTAATGAATTTTGATGTGATGTTTTATTATACTCTAAAGTTTTTTTTATCAAAATTAGAATGCCATCAGAGCAATGAAAATATTAAAAAAAAAACTTGATCATTTTGCCTTTTTTTCACCAATTATTGCTATTTTGCAGCATCGGTACAAAATTTAAACATTTTTAACTTACAGTATATTGTGCAAAATTCAATTCTAAAACTTATTTCCTCTTCAATACTTTTCCAAAATGCATAGGTTCCAAGATATAAGCAAAAAACTCAGATAAAATAGGTATTTTTTAAACTTTTTTAAACATTTTTTCAATTTTGAAAATGTTCCGAACCTCGCCCAGATCTAGGGATCTATACCTCTATTATGTATGTTGTACTGAAGGTAATCCAGAAAAAATTTGCTTGCCCCCTCTCACATCCACCTCAAAACAGATCCACACTAGTTTATTAAATTTTACCTCGAATTTGAGTAATTATGAACCTCTTAAAACAGGAACTTAACTTTTAATCAAATTTTTGAAAAATATGTACCTAATTAAAGTACCCAAAGATTCACATCATCCAAATAATCTCACGCATTTAAAATAATTTAAGTACTTACCAAAAAGCAAAATTCAGTCATTTTTAAACGCACAAGTACAAAACAGACAACAACATATGCACGCACGACATCTTCGAATCCAATTTTCATGCTCTCGCTGGAAAACGCCTCAAGAAAAGGTACGCAAAATACACTCAGACACAGTCCAATTCCAGATATCTTAACCCTAACTGAATTGCGTATTGCTTGACTGCTTAATACCTCGTGTTATCCGCCGCGCCGTTGTCACATTGCTCGATATGAATTTTATCGAATTTTAAATTTATTACAACGCTAATTATTTTTTAGAATTAAGCATAATGAAGTTCAACAAAGTGATAAACTTTGTATTTTATGGTATTCTATGAACGAAGTTATGTCAGTATTCCTTAATTAATCGAACTTTTGTACATCAAGTTGGAGATTTTGATCATTTTTTCTCGGAAATGGTTGAGTTTAGGACCCATGTCATATAAGGTTTTTTTTTGTTTATTTTATTGGATTCTATCGTCTGTTCAAATTAAGGCAGTCAAACTTAACACCCTATATATTCGTTTTATTTGTTATTATTCTGTACTATTTCGCCTTTTAAAAGTTTTTAACAACATTCACATTGATATTTATCAAAAGAGAATAATAATAATCCAAATTCTTTTTTTTTTTCTAAAAAAGTATTTCAAAGAAAACAAGTAACACTTTTGTTGTTGTTAATCACAATTAACCTTTTTTATGATGCTTTTATCAAATAAACATAGAAACTATTCCTTTTAGCATACTTATAAAAAATCAGCGACACTTTTTTAAAAACAATGCATTTCAAACGTTTTCTTCCTGTTTTTCAGGCTCGAGGTTTGCTTTGTTGGAAGCTAAAGTGCTTATCGTCAGTCTGATGTCCAGGTTCGACATCGTACCAGTGAAGAGGACTACTGTGCCCATCACACTGGCCAAAAGCGTGAATCTTACAGTAAAAGATGGATTTTGGTTAGGTTTTAAAAATAGGAATAGATAAACGTTCTTAACGCTGTCAGGATATTTTAACTATTTCAGTATATCCATTATATGCAGTGGCGGCCGGTGCGGTGGGGCTCTGGGGTGCCGCCCCCTAGGAATTTGCATAGTAAAAAAATTTAATTTAAAATTTGGAAACTTAGAAATGTGAAATTTGTAATTGGCAGTCAGTTTAGTTCGACTTGTAAGATTCGTTTGAAATACAGTCTAGAAATGGGAAATTCCCGGGAAGATATGTTTTTTTGGGAATATTTCCCAAATTATATTTTGCGAATGTTGCCAAATGTTTCCAGGGAATAATGCCAGGTAATGTTTCCTTGGAAACTTTCCTGAAAAATATTTCCAAGGGAGTTGCCCAGAAATATTTCCCACCACTTGCAGACTGTTTTTTGTTTTTTGAACGTGTGTATGCTTATTGTTAGTTGTGGCAACATTAATGGTTATAATTAATTAAATGAACAAACTTTTGTAATAAATAACGGCCAATGTTAGCGAATGGGTCGGTACTTATTAATTTTTTTTTCTCCTTGTTTTTAACGCCTTCTATTTCTTGGATAGTTTCAGAAACTACAGATTTATACGAGTGTCGCCATCTAGTAGTTTCCTATCAAAGTTGACTGGTTGTCTAATAATATTATACAGAGTTAGTCAAAAGTATGGAAACCCCCAAAAATCTCAGCGAGAAAGCATTTTTGGGATAAATGGTGAGGACAAAAGTTTCAGCTGTTTTCACGGCCCATCCGATGTTCAGATCAAGGTCAAGGTTCAAGGTCATATCAAGATAAAGTTGGTTTTTGTAATTAGTGAACCAAAACCAAATGGTGAAACGGTGAATGACCTTGACCTCAAATCAAGGTCACTGTGGAGTACCATCAGGCATCTACTCAAAGACTGTCACTCCCTATTCCGTAGTTAAAAATAAAAATTACAATAAAAATCAAAGTTTGACCTTAACCAATATCATATTCGGATGCAGAATTTTCTGCCCTTTCCGGGGTCGAAAAGGAGGGTCGTCATTAAAAAAAAAACTACTTGATCTTGAAATGACCTTGAACCGTAACCTTGACCTCAATATTAGGTATAGTCTTTCCGATATTAATTGAAGAACCAACAGGATGACATTATGTACCAGGTTCGGTCGTTGACGCAGCAACTCGCCATTGAAATATTTGAAAAACTTGTTCCCATATTTATTTAGCCATACCCATATACAGGTCTGGTCGAACTAAACGTGGAGGCGGTAGAAATGTATGCGCCCAGTTGAAGAATGCGAGCTCGGGCAAACGAAATCTAAACACAGCCGCACTGGGCGACTGGGCAATAAATCTCAATTGTTGACAAGTGACTGATAAATTGCCTAGCAGTGCAGTGCAGCAATGCGGAATTTGGTGTGATTCAGGTAATTTTAATTTATCATAGGCACCTTCTATTAATCATTCATTTAAATTAGCGAAAGGGAGAAATAAGAGGGATATTTTGTTTACAACATGGCATTTTGGAGACCTTTTGAAACGGAACAAAACGAAATTTACCATCAATATAATAAAATTGTTTGAGGACATAAATATTTAAAATATGTTGTTGGTCAAATGAACATATAAATTTTCTACACATTATATATAAATTATTATAATTTTTTACCTTTAGCAGAAAACTTTTTTAGGGACGCCTATGAAAGTCATTACATTTTATTGCCCGGCGTTTTTTTTCGTGTTCAACTGACTTCGGAAAGACTATACACCGTGAAATCATCCCAAAAATGCTTTCTCGCTGAGACTTTTGTGAGGTTTCCATACTTTTGACTAACCCTGTATATAAACGAGGACTATACGCATGTATAAACACGTTTTTTTTTTATTGGAGTATAATGAAGTGACTGGAGTAAAACTGTTTATTTCTCCTCTGATACTTATTTTTATTCACACTGTAGTCTGTGTTTATTTAATTTTTATTCTAGTTTAGGGTGATCAAAATCTGCAATTTATATTTTTTTTATGATTTCATTGTTTATATTTAAAATGATGGATTTTTAACATTGTACATACATATACTGTTCTCTTATGTAAATTATTTTGTATATTAAGATTGTTTTTTTATTTTTGTTGCCAATAAAAAATTGAATAGTTCTTATTGTTTTAATTTCTTCATTCTTTTCAATTTCCAGGTAACACATCTTCCTCGTCCTCAAAAAATCTCTTGTCTTCAAATAATAAATTTAGTAATATTTTTATGAGAACCAATTTGGTATTTACATTAACAGATTGAATCTGGATTTACAGGTTCATTTTCGAAATGGAGAAATTTTGCTCCTAAGAGTTCAATAATAAATTAAGTTAATTTTGCGTTAATAGATGGCACCACTTACATGTTGACATTACAAGTCAACTTGAAAAGACTTAAGTCATCATATACACCTTTAATCTTCAGTAATTCTTTTGCCAGAGAGGGGGTAAGGTTCATTTTTTTTAAATAGAATTATGCTGTCAAACATCTAGTCATTCTTGTCAAACCAAAAACAATTAGAATATTTGTTAACATGATGGGATCTAGTTTGGTAGTCGTAGATGCGCGGTAGATCCCAGCCCTTCCCCACCCTTGTGGGTACCTTTCTTAAGTTAACTACCAAGCAACATTGTGTGCGCGAGATATTAAAAAAATTATGATGGCGCCCTGTATTAGTATTGATTGATACTAATTTTTTTTATAAAAACGATACATTAAGAATATCTACATAATTTTTGACACAAAATACAAAAATTATAGTGGTGCCCTCTACGAATATAAGCAACCATAACGAATCCACCTAAAAATTAATGAATTGTGAAATACATAATTTGCATATAAATCAAGGTAAGTAATTTGGAATGGAGAACATATTTCTATGGAAGCTACTTTTGACTTTAGAAATGTTCTCATTAGTCATGTCCCACCATTGAGAGAGTAACCTAACCTCAAACCGCGCGCTAGTCCTGCGCGCGTAGCCACTTCGTTGCTACAGCATGAATTGTTATTGCCTCATTTCTTTTTGTGTGTATACACATTTTTTTTACATATCACTGTTATTTTACTGTAAAATTTTTTCAGTCAGTTACAAACTTAGTTATTGATTAAGTGTTAAATAAAACAAATAAAAACGTGTCCAGTATCTTTATTCAATACAAAATCATGTATTTCACGTTAAAAGGTAAAAATCTTAGTGCCAATCGGTGGATTCCCCCAGTTAGGCGCCGCCGGTTGAGCGGATGTATTGGTAGCGGACCACTGTTCCTGTGCAACTTCGGTCGCCCAGTCGTCGGTAGCTCGTGCGGGATAAGCTGGCGTGTCCGCAATTGGAGGAACCGGAATGACGGGCTCTGTGGTCCATTCAGGCTTCAGGTTGTAGCCCAATCAAGTTCTTGAGTATCGATCGGTGCAACAATTTCCGGTGGTGGTTTAACGACAGCGACGGCTTCCTTTGCGGCCTGTTCTTCCTTCTCGGGTTCGCGGTAGAAGAATAAGTCGACAACCATGTCTCATCTTGTGTCACGCGGGATTATTCCACGTAGACAGAGCACCTGGAATATTTAAATTAAGGGTTTGATTCGGTTCTTTTCTATAAAAATAATGCAATTTAATTTTTGTACAAATCAGGTGGAAAAATTATGCAATATCACGATTGTTCAGATTCATATGGGAACAATTTTTTTGTCATCATATACAGGGTGTGCTATTTAACACTCCTGCTGCCAATATCTCAGAAATGAAGAAATTTATTTTAGTTCCGGAAACTGAGGTTGTTAGGTCCCTCGAATAGCTTCAAATTGTAGTTAGAATTGTTAGTTCAAATCTTTCTGTAAAGATGGCGTGGCGATACTAAAAAATGTTTTGCTCCCTGGAACGTGGAAATACAGTCCATCTAAAAGATCGTTAAATTTTGAGTAATTTTTGTAATATAAAGTTGTTCCCTATATTTACTTGTTTTCGAGATATGTCGACTTCAATATGCAATGTACGATGTAACAGGAAAATCTATTATTTTATTTGAATCACACGGAGACAAAATATTTTTTTTAAATATTGTCTTAATGGCTTTATTCACATCACATACTAACTAACAAACAAGAAATTATAAAAAAAACGAATGATCAACTACAACAATGACAGATGACGCATATTAGTTTTTCAATAATTAGTTTTATCAGTTTTTCAATTCAACTATACTAGTTATACGATTTACCATTGTACAATTTTTTTTCTGTAATTGATCATTTGTTTTCTGATAACTTATTGTCTGTTAATTAGTATGTGGTGTGAATAGTCATTATAACAATATTTTAAAATAATATTTTGTCTCGGTTGATTTAGTAAACATAATAAAAAACTTTTTATTACAAAAATTACTCAAAATTTAACGATCTTTCAGATGGACCGCATTTACACATTCCAGGAATTAAAAAATTTTTTAGTATCGCCACACCATCTGTACAGAAAGATTTGAACTAACAGTTCTAACTACAATTTGAAGCCATTCGAGGGACCTAACAACCCCAATTTGGAGAACTAAATAAATAAATAAATATCTTCATTTTGGAGATATTGTCAGCGGGAGTGTTAAATGGCACACCCTGTATTTATTTAAAGCTGATGGAAGTTTCCAATCGTACATATTGCTGGCAAACGCAATCACTCGTGGCTATGCTTGCAACAATGGGAACGAATGATTCTAGAGGACTTCCATATACAGAGGAAAATTTTTTTATTTGTATATTTATGCCATCTATACAAGAGAATAATCTACAAATTTTCTTGGACAACTCGAACGATTGGAAACTTCCGTTAAATTTCTTACAAACAGTACAATTTACCTCACGAACCAGAAGTCACCACAAAACACCAATGTTGTGCGTGGATTCGTGGAGGATCGCAGGATCAGTGAAGATCAGCAGACGGGGCTTTCGAAAAGCTGCTTGAATCTGAAAAATTCATTAGTAATCTTTGATTAAAAACTCTTCAGACCCATTCACTTGTTGTGTAAGTCAGTAATAAACAATAAAATCACCTACATAGGTTCCTTAGTAGTCTCATCATTTAATTAATTAAACATAAAAAATTTCCTCACAGTAAAATTGCATCAGACTATTTTTAATCACATTACTAGCTATTCGAAGCAATTTCAATAGTAAACACAACTATTCGTGACCTAATCTGTCGGTACTATAAAATAAACTTTTTATATTACGGGAAACAACTACGAG